AGCTTATGATAGGGTCAACCACGTATGTCTTATCAAGAAGCTTAGACGATTGGGTATAAAACCCGCTTTGATTGATTGGCTCTCTTCATATTTAGAAAACCGACATTTTAAGGTCAGGTTAACTTCACTCTCTCTCAGGCTATGGAATGTCCTAGTGGGGTCTCACAGGGCTCAATACTAGGACCTCTTCTCTTCTTGATTTACATTAACGATCTTCCTCAACAAGTTTCATCTGACTTATTGCTTTATGCTGATGATGTGAAACTTTGGAGAGAGATACGTAATCATAATGATATACTAGTTCTTCAGGAGGATCTGACCCGACTTCAAAGTTGGGCAGACGAAAACGGACTTACCTTCAACACTTCAAAGTGCAAGGTAGTCCATCTGAGACATGTTGCAGACTATAGTTATAACTTAGGTAACTCCCCTCTAGAAGTTTCCCAAGTCGAAAATGATTTAGTACCCTATGACCTGATATCGTACGCGAACTGTGAAAAAACGCCTCTCAAGCAAACCTTTCACTGGTAACATTGAAGCGCATTTTTGCCCAGTTTGACGGTAGAACCTTCCACATAATCTTCAACAGTTTTATTCGTCTCCATTTAGAGTACGGAAACATAGTATTTCCCCCCTCCCTCCAAAAGGATAAGGACACTCTGGAACGTATACAACGTGGAGCCACGAAATCGATTCGGGGAATCAAATTCAAACCTTACGAAAAGAGCCTCCAATCACTTAACTTTTACCCGTTAGAGTACAGGCGTCTTAAAGGTGACCTTCTTATGACTTACAGTATCCTTAATACTTCTTGTCATCCCCTTAAACATCTTCTTAAGCTTAGTCATAACACTAACCTGAGAGGTAACACCCAGAAATTGGAGACCCTACATAGCAAAACAAACTGCAGACACAACTTCTACTCCGTTAGAGTTGTCAAGTGCTGGAGTTCGCTACCGACTGAGCTAGTTCAAGCGACATCCCAGGAGTCCTTTAAGAGGAAACTTGAACTATTCTTAAGGACTAAGGATAACATTTTATTATGATTTACCAAATTCTTTTTTTCCTCTATCATCGTTCATATACCTAGGTTTTTGTCTGGAGGTATTGGTGATCCACTGCTACTAGACGCGGAAGCCCGTTAAGCGAAAGCTTCTTTTATTCCGTCCTCAACCATTTGAACCATTTGCATCCACTTAATTATCTTGGGAAAATGAATGGCTTACAAGACCAATCCAGCTACCAGATACTAACAGGTATTATCTCCTGACTTTAGTTCACATACTGTGGAATAAATCTTTGGCTTAAAGATTCAGAGAGTGGTCCCCTAGGATAACTCCGTTTAAGCCTAGGCGGATGAATAGGACCTTAAACAAAACACAAATATACTACTTATTAATTATGAAAAACTAGATCATCTAGTAGGATTTTAGACGACCACTATAACTGCTAATATATAGATTTATTCACTTTGATTTTCCGAATACATCAAGCATATGTTTTCGATATTAACTTTAAGATCTCATAATTGGTTTATTGCGTTTCAAACTTCCATGTGATTAGACGTTCCCAATATCCAATAACGATCCTCTTACAGCTATTGCTTAGTAACTGTTTAGGTAAAATGGATCCAAATTCTTGAGTATAGGCAACGTCGCTGCTTGATGTTGCAAGTGCTAAACATCAAGGTCAAATAGTTTCATAGTTAAAATCTACATGCATGTTAAGGTTATATTGTTGCGAAATTTATCAATGAAAAATATTTGCTAGGGACTCACTGGTATTTCAACTAGTTGAACGACATCTCCGGTCCTAATACGACAGTTCTATCAAAAACGAATTAATGGAACGTTTTTCTAACCTCTTCAGTCGTATAATATTCAATTGTGCCCGAGTGTACTGTTTTACGAAAACAGTAATTGGATGTCTCGGACTGGGGTATACCGAACCTTTAAAATTTGTAGGGAAAGATAATATCACATACTGCTGCGAAACCTTGTAAATAATATCATCGTACACAGCTGGCTAAGGAAAAATTCATTATCATGACTACTTTGTCTTACACACTCGAAGGTGAAAAGTTGACCATTTCCCTCAAACTCCACACCGAATTTCAAAAAATTTTGAGATGACATTGAGATAGTGTTTCTTGATGAGTACTATTTTACCTGCTGACATGAAATCGAGGTTATTTAAGTCCGTCAACAAGGTTGCGTGAACATTTTCAGAGTGGATTTAAAGTAGTTAAACAACAGTCGCAGAAATTATTATACAACTATGTGGCTGAATAAAAAGTCCGGTAACTAACTTTAAAGACTCTGAATGCTGGATTCTGAAAAGACGTTTTGACCAAAAGCGATAATGTCATATAACGAGTTAACAGAACACAATAGCTGAGAGTTAAATCAGTTTCAGTTTGGAAAGGACAAGAGGCTTGATAGCCTTTGTTAGTCCTGGCAATGATGGTCTCACAGTTGATCCAACTTTTTTTGAAAAAGTCGAACGATGAAGCCTCAATCACGTGCTGAAGTAATGAATTCCACTCGTTGATGATTCGATGGGAAAGTCGATAGTCAGCTGACAAGTAGTTCGTGCTGAGCTTGTAAACATTTTGGAGTATCCTCGTAAATTTTTTGTTTCAGGAAACAAGAAAGATGAGGGCATATCAGGTGCAAATTTATCACTTAGCAATTTGAAAACTGTAATCAAGTTTCCTCTGATTCTTCGATATGACAGCGGGAATAGGTTTAGCTTGGTCAGTCTAGCATCATACGGGAGCTTCGCTACTTCGGGAACCGTAACTCTGTAGGCGGATCCTTTTATTTGGTCCAGATCTATGAAGTCCTTCTAGACAAAGAGGGTGTATTTTCTAGCTGCTCGTAGTTAGCTTGAGAATACTGAGCAACGTCCGTGAAGTGTTTGGAAAGCGAGATACGAAAAGAACCGTATCCCGAAGCGCAGTAAGAATATCGGATTTGTGTACATATTGCAAGGAGAACAATCGATACCAATATCCAATAATCCGTAAGAGAGATAAGAGCACGTTTTAATTTACGACTGAGTGTTCTGTTATGACACTATAAACTCGTCACAAGTCTGACTCTTCAATTTTTCTCAACTAATGGAAACTTGGATAGAGATTATACACTGTTTGAAATCAAATTACTAAGGCTCGGTTAATCGACGACCACTACCAGGTGGGTGCTCAAGGGTAAAGATGTAAAATAAAGCACTGTGTCCACCGAAGTGACAACTCGATTGTTTATCAGATGAACTTCTACAAATAGGTGCAGATTAAGAGGACACAGAGCTGGGCAGAATTTCTGTCCCATTAATTTTGAGGCTCTGATTAACGTTCTGTATTTTTTGATTCAACACATGGTTTGGGAGTAACGCAGACCCATAGCAGAAAAAATAATGTCTATGAAGATGTATAGTGTTCAAAAATGCTGTCGTCTGAAGTCACTTCTTATAGCAGTACTCGATGCCTAATCAATCGAAAGATAAATCTGGATGACAGGAGGGGGTTGAAAACTTCAGTTAAGATCAAATCTGCCAGTTTCCTTTATTTAGATTTAGAGTTCTACTTTCTGAGTCCCTCAACCGGTAACTTAGACGTTATGTGAAACGAGGTGACTCACCGCACATTTATCTTATACTATAATAGTATTTCTTTCCAGAAAAGTCGGCAGGATGCGACATCATCCAACCCATGATCCTGAGACTGTGCACAGAAGGCATCAGTATGCCAGTAAGTGACCTTTTATACTGACACAAGATTCGCACCAACTCCGAAGAGAACGAAAGCAATCCAATCTCACTCAAATCTTCAAAGATAGGAAAATCTAGCCTTTTACAGATACTTAACATTACTCACGATACTATCGAAGGTAATGGAAATGCTAGTGAATGCGAAAATGAAGCAATATTTGAATAATTAATCATCTTCCGTGAAGCACAATAAGAATTCAGGTAAAACAGGTTCTGTGCAACCAATCTACGCATCGAATGGTAAAGCTGGACGACTATCTGAGAACATAAAATGCCCAATGTACATGGTGTACTTCGCATAGTGAAGGAAAAAAAGGTGAATCTGACTGATCCACTTCTATCCTGGCTCCAGAACTTCCTTCAGAACAGGATGTTTCGTACCCGAATAAGAACAGTGAACACGAGTTGGAATGTTTCAACATCAGGCTTTCCCCAAGGATCAATCCTTGGCCTACTCCTCTTCTCGATCATCATTAAAAACCTGCCCCATAGAATTTGCTCAGTGACACTGATAAATGCGGACAACTCGAAGATCTAGAGGCCTTATAAACAGCAAAAGGTATTCACTTGAGATTCACTTGAGGCAATTACCACAGATTTTTCCCTAACACTGATCAAAAAGTGCACACGACTCCTCCTTGAAATCCACAATGTCATTGCGTCCCTCTCTTCAACAGAAAAAAGATCTCTCAGACGAGGTACGGAAACGGGTAACCAGGTGGTTGATGAGTCTAGAACATGGATCTTATGACGACACACCACAACAAGTGAATTTGTTGTCGTTGAACTACATGAGAATAAGAGGTGATCTGATGATGGCATGCAACATACTGAGTAAGCTAAACCACCTGAACAGTGATTAGCTTTGTAAGGAGACTTGATAAACATGTACTCACCCACGGATCACCATCTCCTTGTTGGACTAACCGCGTCTGGTACATGTCCCTTAGATTACAGGTTTTGTCATTACTGAGTATCAGTAACTACTTCCTATCTCTCTTAGTATCATTCTCGTCTCCTATTATCCTTTTAATTTCATCTTCTTACACATTACAAATTAGGTAGATTATTTATTTATTCTCGAAACGACAGTCTTCTCCTAGCACTCGAATTATCAATTCATTGTTTTCACGTTGCCACCAACCAACTTTCTTCTTAGTAAGGTGATAGCCGCTGATATCATGAAGTCCTAGTGTCTTGAAACAAACACACTCAAACTGTGGTAAATACAAATCTACAAATAACTACCAAACGGACCAAAATTGGTTTAGTCACGCGGCTAGACTATCACCCATTGAAAATTTCTAAGTGCCTGGAACCATACCGAAAGAAGAAGCAAGTGCAAATAAATCAATCGGTTTACATAAGCTCGCGACAATGATACTGGATTTGTTGGATCACTAAGTATAAAAGTATACTATGTAGTTTAATTAATAAAAAGGAACTGAGTATCAGATGAGATGGAAATATGATGCATGTAATTTGTGTTATCCGAAATAAATACGGTGGATGTTGCTAGAGGTTTACATAAACTTATTAAGAATATTGAGTATCGAAAGCAATACGCGGAAAGCTGATTTCAAGGTTGTGAGTGGTCGGTCTTTAATTCCGAAGCTGTTTTATTCACTTAGGTCCTGCCATTTTCATATGCATTGTGATAGAAGTTACGTTGACTATATTTTATGTAAGTAACTTTAGGCTACATTTGACTGAGTATATTTACTCAACCGGAATTCATTAAAAATTCGTATCTCGTTGTTAGTTGTGTTTCTAATCACTGAAACACAGAAAGGCGAAACGACTATCTTGTTGACATCCCCTACCTGGCTCACACGGTATTGTCCACTCGTTCATTCTCAAGGACCAAATATAACAAACTTATTAAGTATATCCTTGTTAAAATGTTATTTCTGGTAATCGTGTTGCCACTTAAATTAACTAAAATTAGTTACTCTAGTCAGGGGATCGGCGCCCTATTTCTTTGGTATTACCATGAAGTCAAAACAAAACTAACATTACAGAGAAATATATGAAGGTCCAAGCTTCACCAGTTAACCTTATTGTCACTCTACAACAGATTTAATGGTATGAGAAGGTATTTAAGTAACAAGAATGCCTATAAGTGAAGTTAATAAACCCTAATTTATCCAAAGTAACGATTTTAGGTTCCTGTTTGTGTCAGACTATTGAAAAATCTATTGTAAATAAATGACTGGTTTTATGATGCAAAGTATATATCGTCATATCTATCAGATTTAATATCGACTCCAATAATCAAGCTTACATAATGTCTGTTGAAATCACTGCATCACGGTGCTGAAATGAATGTTATTAAGGGGTGTTTTCACTACTTGACTTCTGAAATTTAAAGGTTTTGTATGGCAGTTCTTGAGGGTGGATCTGTAGGTGTAAATATTAGAAAAAATGAATGAAGTATGACTTTTGATTGGTTTAAGCCTGAATGCTTAGTTCGCTTTCATATTTACTGTGTCTGCTATCACATACTCAATGATTCAACTATTTTATTCGGTTCATGTGTGCAAAAATAGCTGTCGTTTAATTATTTTATGAAATCATTCTTGACCACATCTTCGTTCGCTCTTCCCCCTATGTATGTTGACGGTGCTTCAAAAATCCAATGATCCGAAAATTCAGGTTTTCTAGTGTCTTCCACCTTACCAATGGAGTTATGTTTCACGACTTTATTAAAATGTGACATTGATAAATAGTACACCGTAATCTGTATGTATCCAAATGGTATCCCAATAGAAATACAGCTTTCCGAAATTCTGCTATCAGCTAGCTTATCACAGTAAATCCGTCACAGCAGATTTTAAAAACATGACAGTTAAGTGTCTACAATAAATTGTACTACTAAACGTTCCTTTATTCGTAATTGTGGTAATCAAATGACCCATAAACACTGTGCAGACTACCACTATTTCTTCCGATGTAATATATGTTAGATGAAGAAGTATTCTAGAATAGGAACTTTTTTCGCTCGGTTCAAATTGAGATTAAGACAAAGTATAATAATTGTTGCGAACTATGTAATAAAGGCACCAGTAGCATTGGCTGCAATATTCGCGGATGTTACTGAAGCTTCGACCGTTCAGTGCTATGAGTATTGTAGAGATATATGCGTAACAAAAAATGGCAAGCTTACACAGACAGAGTACACACAAACAATATTGAAGCTGTGTGGTAGAGGTTGGAAGAGTATTTGCGACCTTATCATGGCTCCAAAGATCGACTATTATAAAGCCATATGGATGAGTTCCTCTACCGTATGCGTTACGATTTTCGAACCTTCTAACCTATTTCTAACCCTGACAAGTTTTTGAGCCATGTAAAAGAAGTGTATCCGCTTTAATTCTTTGGTTTTGTATAATATATATCTATTCTGTACTAACTGTTCCCTGATTGGCTAGTGTTTCTCAGGGTCGTTTAAGATTCGTTCAGAGGTCGTCAATAAATTAAAGTCTCGCTCACCAAATATATATGCGTCATTTGATTTGTGTGTGGGCTGTGATACTGCCCAAACAGAAGCAGGAGGTTTTCTTAGGGGGTCACCCTAAATGTCTGATCCACAAGGCAGTAGAACAACGTCAATTGGTTCGTACGCCATTTGTTCCTTCAGGATCTCGGAGCCCATGTGCACCATTGGTTTGGAGTCAGGGTTTTCCAACGGCCCTAAATGGATCCTCCGTACCCACTAACCTGGTTAAAGCTCCGGACATTCGCTTTTCATCTTCTCAATTTCGCAAACAACGGTAATGCCGCGAAAAAGCAGTGAGTAGTACTTCTCTGGCCGTGGATGTATATGCGTGGCCATGTGAGAGCGTTTCGAGATGGAGAGTGGAATCTCCTCACCCTTGACTTCACCAGGGCATTTGTGAACTTAGTGAAACTAACCACCTTACTCCCAATGCTTAGACTAACTTTAAGTTCAAAACAGTCCTGAAGCGTCACTTCAGATTTCAGAGATATAAATTGTCAGGCTGCATAACCTAATAATGGTTGTCGTACTTACGGAGACAGTATATAATTTATTAACCCAAGAACGACCATAGAGTCAAGCTAATAACCACACTTGAGTTCATGTATTTGTAAGAAAATACTTATTACCGCCCCTGTTTTTGAATAGATAAATAATATGATTTTCATATTTCGATACTTTAATAGTGTTTCAAACCGCAGGATAACTACACAGTCTATTACGGAAGTAGATCGTCGGATTAAACATGAGGAAAGGTTTGTGGGATAAGCAATGAATACTTGTTTCAGTTCCAAAGTAGAATTTTCTGTTATATGACTAAATCACTAAACTGTCCTCGAGTAAGAAAAACTGAATATTCGATGAGCTATTAAGGATAAACCTTCCCAATGAGTACTAGTAAGATGTTTTCTACTGATTTACTCAAAGTATCTGAACTTTTGTATAGCTCTTAATACACCCAAAATTACCTTTAATTAAAAAAAAAACTCGATTACCGATCGTAAACAGCGTAGGATCTGGCATCAATATTCATGGGCCTGAGTAGCGATACTTCATCTGAGTTTCAAGGGTAAATTACCAGGAAGTAAAGTAAGTAATCCTCAATGATGAAACATTAAAGGATATAAATTTATATAGTTCAGAAGGAACTGTGATGGTATTGTCGAGTTTGATGTACCTGTATCCTTGTTTCACTTTGATGTTAGACCCGACCGTTGCTGCTACCTTGACGTGGTGGTCGGGCTTGCCTATCGTGATGATCCAATCGAGCTATGCTGGCTGGAACAATCGTTCCTCAAGGTCCTACCATGCCAGACAGGTCGGTTAAAGAGCGGTGAGACTAAAAGCAGCAATCCCAAGGTCCGGAGGCGAAGTCGTACTGCTGACTGTACAGAGGTGTGAAAGCAGTAAGGTGTTTCCTTCAGACAACCAGCATGACAGCGATGCTGCCTTCCCACAAGGAGGGGTGGGGTTAGAAAAGGTCGACCCTAAAAATGCACACCTCGCCTTATCCCACGGATTTCCGTCTCCGGCGGTAAGGACTTTTGAAGAACGGAGCTAACACATCAAAAATCCCCCACAAAAAGGCCGTGCGTGACCGGCCTCAAGCAGATGTCCCTTGCGCTCTGCGGTCACGCTCCCAGGTCGTTAAGACCAACACTAATCCAACTTCTTTTTCAGGTCCCTCAAGAAATACCCTTCCACGGTGTGGGCAGCCGGGAAGTGATACTAGCCCTCATACCCTTAACTGCACACAAGACCAAGTTGGTCGCTTTCAAATCCTTCCTACACCTAATAACTCTGTTATCTCCACGACTAACCCTCCCCACGTCCTTTTATCACCTCGCACCGCTAGGGCAAACGATTCGAGTACACATAACGTTATTCCTGGTCTCCTGAAACCACACTCTAAACTACATATAGGAACTTTTAATGTCCGAACATTGTGCCAAATAGGACAACAGGCTTCCTTAGCTAGGACTCTAGAATCTTACACCATCGATGTGTGCTGCGTCTCCGAAACGCGCATACAAGATCCGAGTAGTGTCATTCATTTGACCGCACCTAATCAAAATAAAGTTTCATCTCGATACACGCTTCGTGTATCTGGAAGCCCTGATGCTGCTTCCCGTGGCCTCGCTGGAGTAGGTATAGCATTAAGTCTTAGGGCAGAACTAGCTCTTTTAGACTGGATCCCAGTAGACAGTCGTCTATGCGCTGTCCGACTAAACGGATCAGTAAGGACCCGGAAAGATAGGGAAACTCTTCGTTGCCTCTTGGTCGTCTCTGCCTACTCTCCCACTGACTGCAGCTCAGACGATATAAAAGATGAGATCTACAGGAAACTTTCTGACCTTCTCCGAGAAGCTAGGCGTTCTGATGTAGTAAGAGTAGCAGGTGACTTTAATGCTCAAGTAGGTAAACTAAGTGAAAGGGAAGGACACCTGGGTGGATCTTATGGTGTCATGGCGAAAAGAACAGATAATGGCGACCGTCTGTTGCAGCTATGCTCAGATAACCGCCTATTTCTTGCAAATACTAACTTTAAGCATAAGGAAAAACATCTTTTGACATGGCGACCCCCGAATTCGTCCCAACGTTGGACCCAATTAGATCACATCGCTATCAGCCACCGATGGAGGGGCTCGATAGAAGACTGTCGCTCATTCTGGGGCACATGTTTAGATTCAGATCATGCTCTAGTGCGAGCACGTATCTGTCTGCGACTTACTGGTCGTAGGAAAGACACTGCAGGGAAGCCTCTAAGGGTTCTACTTAATGATAGGCAAGCTAAGAATATATTTCAGGAACAACTAGAAAAACAGTTAGGCAGCCATGTAAGTTGTGTCCACCCCGAGGCAGCGTGGAATGACATCCGAAAAGCTGTGGAAACAGCAGTGATATCCGCTAATAAGGTAAACCATAACGTTAGGGAGAAACAATGGATCTCGGCAGCATCTATCGCACTGATAGATGCTCGTAAACTCATCCCACCTGGCTCTGAGCATAACGAAGAGCGGAGTCAACTTAAGCGAAGGCTTATAAGAAGCCTACGTAATGATCGTGAACAGTGGTGGGTAGCGAAAGCAAGGGAGATGGAAAAGGCAGCGGCAATAGGTAACAGTAGGCAGCTATTCAGACTCGTTAAAGAAACCGGTATTAGGAACCCGAATATCAGTGAAACCATCTCAGATAAAGATGGGCATATTATTCATTCTCAATCCAGGAGATTGGATCGATGGGCAGAACACTTTAGGGATCAGTTCAACTGGCCTTCAGCCACACTTCAATTACCCACGATCCCCAGTCGTCCTGAATGGCAAATTGATGTAAGTCCTCCAACCCTCTGTGAGGTTGAAAAAGCTATAGGAAATCTGAAGCGAGGGAGAGCAGCAGGCCCTGACAGGTTGACCCCTGAGATTTTTAAGGATGGTGGTCCAGTACTAGCAGTGAGATTGACTGAGGTCTTAGGTAGAATCTGGGAACTGGACGTAATTCCATCTGACTGGTCCCAATCACTGATTGTGCCAGTCTATAAGAAAGGACAAAAGTCCTCTTGTGACAATCACAGAGGGATCAGTTTGACTAATATAGTGTCTAAAATATTAGCTTCAATAATACTAGGTCGCCTAACCAAAGCTCGTGAAGAGCAGACTAGAGAAAAGCAGACTGGTTTTCGACCTGGACGTGGTTGCATAGACCAGATATTCACCCTACGTCAGGTTCTAGAACATAGACACAAATTCAGACGTCCCACAATAGTAGTATTTCTTGACCTTAAGGCGGCATTTGACTCTGTTGATCGTGAGGTTCTATGGCAATGTTTGTCACTGAAAGGAGTACCAAAGAAATACATTAACCTCATAAAGGCTCTCTACTCGAACACAACTGGTCGAGTTAGTTACCACAAGTGGCGTTCGTCAGGGCTGTCCACTCTCCCCATTCTTGTTTAGCTTTGTAATTGGCATACTTTTAGAGATAGCACTTTCATCAGCTAAACCTCCAGGAGTTGAACTTTTACCAGGAGGCTCACTTGTTGACTTAGAATACGCCGACGACATAGTTTTACTCGGTGAAGACGCTGACAACATGCAGAGTCTTCTGACCACTATAAGCAACTATGCAGGCATGTTCGGAATGCGATTCTCTCCCTCGAAGTGCAAAATGTTACTTCAGGATTGGGTTGCATCGACACCTGAACTAATGATAGGGAGTGAAGTAGTTGAGCGTGTAGACCACTTCACTTATCTTGGGAGTCTCATCAGCCCTTGTGGTCTGGTATGTGACGAAATCTCAGCACGGATACAGAAGGCTCGTCTAGCTTTCGCCAACTTGCGTCATTTATGGCGTAGGCGAGATATCCGTCTAGCAACCAAAGGACGGGTTTACTGTGCAGCAGTTCGCTCCGTCCTACTTTATGGCAGTGAAACATGGCCAATAAGAGTAGAGGATATTCGTAGACTACTAGTGTTCGATCATAGGTGTCTTCGAAGCATTGCTCGTATATCCTGGGACCACCGGGTAAGTAATGCAGTTGTTAGGAAACGAGTACTAGGTAGGGATGGCAAATCGATTGATGAAGTAGTGAAACTTCATCAGTTGAGATGGCTGGGACATGTGTTACGTATGCCCGACCACCGACTGCCCCGACGTGCAATGTTTCATGGTGTAGGAGTAGGTTGGAAGAAAGCTATGGGCGGCCAGACCAAAACGTGGCACAAATCAATGAAGTCACTGACAAGTGGACTGGGCCACGTTGGTAGGTGTAGACTACCTGGTTGGGATTCGCGAGATGACAGCAACCGATGGTTAGAGACCTTGAATGACATGGCTCAAAATCGTTTGCAATGGCGAAGATGCATCCACTCTATGTGTTCTGCCAAATTCTAATCTTCTGAATTCCTCATGTCTTTATGTTTTTCTCTTTCCAAATTTATTTCACTGTACTATACTCCTTCAATAATTTCTTCAAACCCCTAATCTTTTGGATTTCTGATTATACTCCTACTACTTCTACCACTATGGGATTTGAATCGACAACTGCATCTCTGTGCTAATGTGGTATGGCAACTCGAACTGATGTACGTACGTACGAAGTTCTACGTTGTGACTGACTGACTGACTGACTTTGATGTCAGACCACTAGTTCTCCGTGATGTACTCAAATACAAATATATGTTTATTCAGACGCTACTCAGAGCTGTATATTTGTTTGCTTAAGCGAAAATTAGCAGGCCTGAAAACTAACACTCATTATTTTGCCGTTATTTGATACACTTCGTGCTTTTCACTACGCACAGTATTTTCATTATCATATAAAGAATACAGACTGATCTTTATCTCGAGACATATATTTAGTGTAATTCACGAATCGGGTCGCGCCAAAATCCTTTCTATATCCTCAGTATTGTGTAATTAGACCTTAAAAATCTGCTGACATATTTGTCTCTATATTTATTCACGTTTTTTACATGACTAAATATACAATAATGTTTACCAAAGTCAACCTATTTATTTCCCTCTCATTGCTTGTCTGTCCAGAGAATATGTTCCTATGTTGTTCGTTGGCTCGAATTGCTGACGTTAGATATCTAACGAATTTGTGCAGATCGTCTACTGTGTCGTCGGAGCAATTATCAATATTTAAACCCAAAACTGCGCTGATATTAGCTAAATTATCCAAATATGATTGTGAAAAGTCAATGGAAACTTATTTGAATGATGACCAGTTAAAAACGTCTGTATGCTAATTATTATCGCTACTATTACGGTGTAATTAATTCAGATAGAAAGAAGAGGTTTTAACCCTCGTCTTCTGATCGCTCGGCATGAAACACATTATGCAAAATTATTTGAATTGAAAAATGCTTTAAGGTGAGGTAACATTTACTTACTTCCTTACAACGTTTTTGTTCCAAAAGTTTGTAGAGTAGTTGCTTCAGAATGATTTTTTGTCATATTAGTCGGCGGGCTGGGGTATTTCCTGGGTGCCGAAATCGAATCAGGTGATTTTTTAGTAGGCCACTCCTAGAGTCTTTGACCTAGAGGTTTAATTCACATGGCAGTAAAGGGACATCATGAGATGCAATCCCACGATAGCCGGTAACCAAAGATAACTTTAAATGCCATTCGATCCCTCATAATATTGGTGCAGTTTATTTTGGAGTCGGGGTTTGTCAATTCTCTTAGGTGAATTCTTCGTATCCATCAACCCGGTTAAGGCGCCAGATGTTCGCTTTTCTTTTCCGTTTTGTCGAATAACACCCTAGCCACAAGAAAGCAGTGAACAGGACTTCTCTGAGAGTAGCTATAAATTCGTATTTATAATAGGGCATTTCGAACGGGAGAGAGGACTTTACCAGAGGCGGTAGCAGAGGATTTAGGGGCGCGTATGCCTTCTTCCTATTGTCCTGTTCCAGTTGTGTGGTTAGAATTTAGTTATTTATTTAAACGCATAAATATTGGTACAAGGGGGCACCAGATACACATGCGTCACACAAAACAATGAGAATGGGAAGAGAAAAGGAGTAAGATATATATATATATATATAATAAGAGTAATGATAGGGGAAACTGAAATGTACAACCAGAAAATCTTTTTCAGTTAAGGAAGTTATGAACACTCCTTGTGAAGAAAGTAAACGAAGGTTACAGCAGGATCGCCACTGGCTTCTGTTTTGAACCATATCTGATAACGCCTCTAGCCACTGTGATGCACCATCTCTACGACCCCAAACAGGGAGTCATGAAAGGCCGACGGAAACCAGTCCTGTACAGCTTTCTATCACATCACAGCACCATGTCATGCACTGACCACCTCTCCGCCTTTCCCAACCAGTCCCAGAGTCTGCAAATAATGCACGATGTAGAATTCGTGGAACATGTCCAGGCTACCGAAGTCGGTGTTTCACGATGGTGACACCAATTGAATTATCGTCCCGGCGCCCGAACACACGATGCCGAACCTCTGCATTACTAACATAGTGTTGCCACTGGATGTCAGCAATCCTTCGGAGACAACAATGATCGAACACAGAGTCGTCTAACATCCTCAACTCGGAGAGGTCAGGTTTCACAAGCACAGAGCAAAACTGCTCTCACTGACGCGTTGTAGATCCGACCTTTTACAGCCAGACTAACATCACAAAGGCGCCAAAGATGGTCCAGATTGGCATAAGCCGCTCTGGCTTTCACTGTACGTGCATCGATCTCATCACTCACGCCACCACCAGTACTTATGCAGCTAATTAGATACACGAACTTCTCGACTACTTCAATTTGCTCACCACCCAGAGAGAGTACAGGATGAGAACCCTGCTAGTCTTGTAGGAGTACTTTGCACTTGGAGGGTGCAAAGCACATGCCGTACCTGCGGACACTGATTGCCAACTGATTAAGTCCGGATTGCATGCCTTGGGCATTATCGCACAGTAAGACAATATCATCCGCATACTCAAAGTCGAGAAGTCGTTCTCCGGGCAACATATCCACACCGCCATTACTTACATTCATCAGAGCTGTTTCCTGGATGTCATCGATGACAAAGTTGAAGAGGAATGGTGAGATCGGGCAACCCTGCCTAACCCCACTGCTCGAATGGAACAAGGGAGAAAGGTGGTTGTATGCCCTCACTCTGCCTAAGGTGTTCGTATACAGGGCCTTTAAGATGTTAATGAACTTCTCAGGCACACCCTTCTTCAATAGACAATCCCAGAGAACAGTCCTGTCCAACGAATCGAAGGCAGCCCTGATATCAAGAAACACTACGATTGTTAGCTTGTGATAAGTATGACGGTGTTCTAACATTTGGCGGAGGGTGAAGATGTGATCAATGCATCCTCGACCAGAACGAAAACCAGCCTGCTCCTCGCGAGTCAATCGTTCTCGGGTTTTAAACAATCGACGAAGTATGACAGAAGCCAGTAATTTGGACGCGATCGGAAGTAAACTTATCCCCCGATAGTTGTTACAGGAACGACGTGAACCCTTTTTAAAGGTAGGGACAACTATCGACTCATTCCATGACGTTGGAACACTTTCTTGCTCCCAAACCTTTGTAAACAACGCGGTCAATTCCTTAGCCAGAAAGTCACCACCATCTTTAAAAAAACCCAGAGGTAAGTCATCTGGGCCCGGTGATTTGTAGCGTTTCAGGAGTTGGAGTTCCTTGCGAACTTCCGCCTCGTTTGGTGGATCAGTTGTCACCGGCCATGAGGGGGGGGGACAAACTTGTCAATGTTGCCGAAGCAGCAGGCCAGTTTAACTGCCCTTCGAAAAATTCCGCCCATCGTCCAAGACGTCGACAGATGTTAGTGATTGGCATCCCGTCATCCTCACAGATTGTATCACACACAATTCTTGCTGCCAGTGGCTCGGATGAGTTGGAAGATCTTCCAGCAGTTACCAGATGCAGCTGCTGCTTCCAGCTTATTAGCACCATCCGACTACCAGGCTTCTCGGTCCTTACGCAAGCTTTGCTCGATTTCACTACGTAACAGCCTTCGTTTGTGGTCAAACTCACGGTCACCCGGAGTAGACCGACGGGCTTCGATCAGTTGCAAGAAGCAAGAAGAAACCCAGTGGTTGTCAGCGGGACGTTTCGCGAAGCCGCAAGCGACTTTACTCTCCATTTTCTTGGCGTCATGCAGTTGCAACCAATGCTCATATATACTTTTCGGTGGGATGGCAGCTAACCTAGAAGCTAGCTCGGTTCGATACTTACTTGCAACAGAAGTTGCAACCAATTTACTAACATCAATCCGTTGATGACAGTCAATTCACTGGCCACTGAAAAGTAAGGTAAGATTGGCGCAGACCAGGACATGATCAGAGTCCAGATAGGTACTCCAAAAGGAGCGGCAGTCTTGTACACAACCACGCCAGCGGTAGCTGATCGCGATGTGATCAATCTGAGTCCAGGCTTGGGATGCAAAGGGAGGACGCCAGGTGGCGGTCCCCATTATCTGTCCTGCGACCAAAAAGTCCTCATCGGCCACCTAGACGACTCTCTTCTGTGCCTAGACGCCCGCCCTGTGCATTCAAGTCTCCGGCTAGTACTACAATAACTATCAAGCGCACTTTCTGGTGAAGGACAGTTAATTGGTGGTAAAATTCATCCTTGATTGCATCAGGGCTGCAAGCTGTCGGGGCATAGGCGGAGATGATAAAAAGACATCGTTTCTCACACCGATTTCTTCTCACTTTGATGGAGCTTTCTAATCTAACAGCACATAACCTACTGTTAATGTAGATCCAGTCGATTAGTGCTGCCTCAGCTTTAGCGCCTTGATAATTTCAAATAAATTCAGCATTGGATACATTGTTACTGATGAAAATAATGATGTATTCGTAAAATCCCGATCAACAGGAAATCGATTTTCTGACGGCTCCGTGTAAACCATTTTTTCAGAGAATAAATAAATGACTAAATAACTTTAACATTAGTTTAAATTGTACAAACCAAACAAAGAAGAAAATCTTTAGTGTTATCATTAGAATGAAAACAAGTATAGTTATGGGAATGTCACGTCATTTCGGTCAAGTACATCCTGCATGAGATGTACATCTGTGTGTTGGTGGGTATAGACAATCTAATGATATGTATAGTGTAGATTTGAAATAGTTTGTATGCTCGTTAGTGTCGATTTAATTTAGTTATTCATTAGTTCTCTGAAGAAGCTATTTACATTAAGCCAAGAAACGTTAGAAATTCAATTATCTATTTATTACAAATATACTGTTGTTCTTATTAATGAGTTACATACTTGTTTCTTCGCGACATTGTCACAAGTGAAGATTTCAGGCGACAACTTTTCAATATGGTAGGCATCAAAATCGACCCAGCTTAACCTGTTGACAAATACATTTTCTTTCTTTTAATGAAATTAATAATAATAATAATACTTTTACGGTGTATTCACTCTCAATTTTGTTAGCATTACTTGTTTATAGACCTTACTTTTATGTGATATAGGTTTTTTCATTTCACTCAGTGTTTATTTATGTGTTATTTAGTTAATAACTGCTGCTTTTTTAAAGTTTGTAACAATTTCTTATTATATATATATTTAGAGATCATGGTTTAGAAGTACATATTGTGGATCGTCATGATTACTCAGTGGATTCTGTTAATTGGGCAGATGTTGTTTTTACTGCTGGTGGTGATGGAACATTTCTTCTTGGTGCCAGTAAAATTTTACATCCTAATAAACCAATTATTGGTTTTAACACTGATCCTTCATTGTAAGTTTTTTTAAAAACAAAATGATAATAGTGACGGAATTTATAAGGCATCAAAATAGAATTCCTTAATCCTACTTCATATGAGGGATTAGTTATGACTAGATTTTGACTTGAATATTGTCCCTACAGATGATCGATATCGGTTGGGGAGCAAATAAAAGTTAAGGGGGAGTCTACAAAACCTTTTTCTAGCATGAGACAATCCATCAGTGCACACCTACAGTCTAGTATTTCCTGTAGTTAAATAGTAAATAATTAAGATTTTATTCCTAAAAAAGACTTAAATATCATTCGAACTCATTTAGTCATAACGTGAAGTTGGGCACATATTTACGCCGACCCAAGTTTCCTTAGTACATCATAACAACAAATAACAGAAAAATAAAAATAACTGTAGTAGTAATGGCTATGGGAAAATTAAGCATTGAGAATATGCGTCGAGAAGAGGGACTGATAATGTCTGTGTGGAGGAATATTGAAACTCACGATCTAGGGTGGGAAATGACCAGCTTAAATGCACCTACGTCTCTGTGACCAGTTCGCACCTATTCTTTCAGGGTGACTTACATACTTAACATATACAGAAGATAGATCATTCAAAGGTTTCTGCCAACTAATTTAATTTATTCTTCATGGCCGCTTCATATTTGCTCATATATGTTGCAAGCCAGCACTGTCTCTAAACAAGTCAACTGATTTTAATGACGCAACTGAATAACTTATTGTTGGTCTATATACTTCCAAGCTATCCAGATAGAAAGTAAATGTAGCAGGGCTCGAACCTGCAACTCAATGTTTGGAAGTCAAGTGGTTTGATCACTAAATCAGATTGACATAATATTCCATGTGATTGGCTTTTAACCAGATGTTTTGTGTGACAGTTGGTAGTGTCACATGGCTATCCAAATAGATGAAGCTGATCTAAAGCATACAGTCTAACGGTTGAAAATTTAGTGTTTTAACCTTTCGTCTAACTGAACAATTGCATGACACCGCCTGTAAGCGGCGACTCTGGATGAACATCTTTGGCGCTATACAGGCTAGCTCGGGTGTGAAGTCCCGAATAAAACGAAATGCGCATAGATATGGCTGACTAACTACTGGTTTCCACTACTCGTCTTAATCAGAAAACATATTAAATAGAGGTAAATATTATAGTTGTAATGAAATGGGAACAGATCAATGAAGTGTGCCTTAAAAATATAGATAAGTCCAATGCCAGGATAATAATCACTATGTTAAAGCAACAAACTTTCATATATTTCAATCCATATACAACTCGCTGAAACTATGCGGATCCTAGTTGGTGAAGCTTGGTTCGAACTTGGAACTCAATACTCGAAAAGTTTGTTTTAATCGTTGTTTCTGCTTTAATTCAACCGTTATGTACAAACTTTATGTAAGGATTAGTCGTAGTACCAACGAAATCAAAGTAAATGAAGTCCTAACCTAATAGTTTGAAATTAAATGGATAATCTATTGTGCTATGTTTAAGTATTATTCATTGCTAATTTAATCTTACCAATCAAGTTTGCAGTGTTATGTAATGCTTTAAAATGTTCGTATATTATAGCATAATTTATTTATTGTTACATAGAAACAAATGAGGTATACAATAAATGTTCTATTGATACTTTTAAGGATTAATATTATCAAATATATTTCCATTATTGTCGATCTGTTTATAGAAACAAATGTTTGTGTAATGCTATACGACATATCAGTTTAACCTTTATTACTGTTTTTCTTCCTAACGGGAGTGTTGTTTATGAAATTGAGAAGACGAAAGGCGATTGTCCGGCACACTAATCGGGTTGGTAAATACGGAGGACCCACCTAGGGCAGTTGAAAAGCCATGATTCCAAACCAATGGTACATATAGGCTTTAGAATCTTAAGGGACCAATTAGCGTATAAACCTATTGTTAGTCACCGGATACCATAAGACTGCACCTCCTAACATTGCTCCACTGCCTTGTGGATTAGATCTCTAGGTTAAAGGCTCCAGATGTGGCTCCCTGAGGAAATCACTTTGTTCGGTTCGGTCCCCCGGACAATATTCTGGCCCTCACACAAATGGAATGACGAAGTATGGCGCATATATATATATATATTTGGTGCTTCCTTGTACTAATCTTCATGTGTTGAAATAAATAAATAAACTTCCTAACGAAGTATTCTTTACATTTATTTCTGTATATCTAGCTCTCATGGATTTTTATGTTTACCGAAATGGTGTACTTCCAATGTTTCAACAGCTATTGATCTTCTCTTATCAAAACATTTTCAGTAAGTACGATAACCTATGTTTATTCAAATATTTTAATTTTGATTCATAATAAAATTGCTTTTTGTAATTGAATTCATTATTTCCAAATATTCCAAATGGAATGAAAAAAATAATTGTGTTGGTTGCTCGATTGATTAGTAATTAAATGAATTTCGGGAATTAATCAGCGTATTATCAGCAACAACTTGTTGAAATAGCGTCCTTCATTCCGGATAGTCTTATTATAAAGCTTTCATTGATTACCTAGACGATATCGTCAACAAAAAACAGGTTGAAGTTTCTATTTCAACAAAGCCACTATCTCTTACTAAAATCTCATCAATCTATAGATCCTAAACGTTTTGATTTATCTTCCACAAGTGTTATGTACAAATGAAGGTTCTATGGATCTAGTCATCCTACAAATAAGTATTATCATCACAAACTTTAATTCCATGAATTCAAATTTATAAATTATCTCTTAAGCACTTCAGACATCAAATATATAGCTGGTACAAAATGTTATGCAAGCCAAGTACTCAGATTATTATCAAAACATCTAAAGAAGACTACTGTTAAACTATGGATTTTACTTGGATGGAGTTATTTAAAATCTATCCAAGAACTTTTGATATTATGTCCATGTATTCAATGTGTGTTGGACCATTTTTAACGTCTAACACCTTGATCTTACACTGCCAGGAATTCAACCAAGACCAATATCATTTTATCTAGTTTTCAGTACTAATCCAGTTCTACTGATTGTCCTCTACTACATATCATCTAACAATGTGCACTACAATGTTGAGCTATTCCATATAGTGGCTCCATTGTAACTTGATTGATTAAGTATGATCAGGATTAAGGATTAGATAACTAACTAGGCATTGGTTATTACAATATGAACAGTTATTGCGTGATGATCTCTGTCTCATAGGAGGTTAGCTGTGGCCCAAATTACTCAGTTTTAGCATCTCTTGTTATGTCACTAGACACAGGTTCAAATTTCACAGGGGAGTGTCATTTCCATCAAGAGTGTGTATACACGCCTCGCTGACCAGTACCAAATAGCACAAAATTTAAGTTGAGGGCTTCACGTGGATCTCTTTCGACCATCACATATATTGACATCTATCATAAATAATTAACAAAAGCCCCTATATCTAATGGTGATAATCCTGACATGTCTACTTCCCATCCAATCTAGACTACTACTAGCTCTCGTAAAAATTTAAATATATTCGTTGTTTCGAATATGACATTGCGTCACAGTGTAAGATGACCCCTGGTGGATTTTGAGAATAAAAGAGGACATTTATGAAATAAAACCCTTGTAAATAAATGACATTGAGAAAACATTCAAGTTTTCGATTTTTCTTTGTTTGTTCCTTTTCGACAACCATTGGTAAAAGTAAACTGTATATTCAAAATATGATGGTCGTATGTTGTGCGAGTTGTCTGGAATTCTTCCTATTGATACTTGTTGAAACTGTACAACCTGCCTTATCCTAAATTCAGCCACTCTGTTGTTGAATTCTTGATGGTATGTGAAAATTTCACTGGACTTGTGGCTATGTAATAGTCGTTTGACTGTATAATTAATGATCCCAACACCTATTTTTGGCATTTTCATATGTTAACTATTCGAATAATTGTCTAGTATAAATGGACAGAAATCAGCCAGTCATAATACACATAAGATCTGGGACCAATATATATGGACCTATGTTGTCCTACCACATCAGTTCAGTGAAATAAAGTTAACTAATGTTCTAGACTTTATATGAGTAAAAGTGATCCGCATTTGTTTACCACAACAGAGTTTCTGTCCTTTCTCCTATCACCCTAGGTCCCAAACTTTACTTGGTAAGGCATCAGTCAACTGTAATTAGTTTGTATTGAATTTATGTGTAGAATTATGCTGACGAATCCTAACTAGCATAAAACCAAGCTCAGGTTCTCTCATTGTGAACTTGGTGTCTATTCGCTTAACCTGAGAGTCACATTGCAACATAATTGGTCGAATTTGGTCAGGATTGAGAAGGACTAAATAAACGTGAAATTAGTCACCACTAAGTGATTTTTATTATCCACGTCTGGAATCATTTTTCGAATCATTGGATTTATCTGTTAAACATATTAGAGAGACACTAACAAATTCTATGTACATATTCGTAATATGTGAATATTCCAATATTACAACAACAACCATTTTTGACAAGTAATTGAAATATTGGTCGTATCATGTTCTAATTAACAGACCTAGGTATGACATAATAAACTTTTAGGTCTATTTGACTGCCAAATGTAAGTAACATCAACTGTATCAATTGATATTTAATTGTACTGACGTTTAATTTCGATATAATAAATAAAAGCCTACATTTGTCCAGCTGAACAATGTGAAAAGTATTGAAACATTCTTATTGCATTCATTTTGTATTGATTGTTTAAATCTTCCCATTGATGTTTAGGACTGCAATTGATCAGTCTCTTATTAGCATATATACATCGTGTGAGGATTGCTTCGATATCGCCTTAAACTACAAGCATTATAAGTAGAAATGGATGGTGGCTGACAGTGGAATCCAGGACGCTCGTTTCGTTCTAGCTAAGTGGATAACGCGATGGCTATTGAGGCAAACGGCACAGTGTTTGGGCCCCGGAGTGAACATCAACCCCTGAATGCAGCTTAATCCAGCCAACGAGTCCCTGATACGATGAAACGCGCGTCCTGGATTCCACTGCTAGTGACCTTCCATAATTCTTATTGAAGTTTGCATGTACTATTATTAAACAGATCAGTGTTTATATTAAAAAATCAGTGTTCATTAGATGAGATCGATATTTGATAAACCAGAAAAAAGTATTACTAATATGAGAGCTATGATCACATCATTATTCTTAATTGATTATATGGCATATTCACTAGGGCGTGATGAGGATTTATCAGTGGTTAGTTCAGTTGACCTTAGCCATAGTAATACTTTTGTTGTAACAGCGAACTGACCTCGATTTGTAATTTTCAAATTATAGCAAAATTATCATTTATCACACGGTTTTTTTATTATATTTGTTTCTTAATAAAAATTGTCTCATCCCATTTCGTCCCACTAAATTATCAGTTTGAAACTGGTAATAATTGGTTAGTTATTTCTTAAAATTGATATAAAAGATAAACATCTCTCAACTGATCACCTTTTCTCCAAATTATGAACGTAAATAAAGTACAAGCTCTATTGTTTCGAACTTTCTCACGGAGACGGATAACGTGTTCTTGAGTACATTGTATCTGGTAGTGTTCTAATATCTTAAAGCCTTAAAGAGCATCAGAAATTATGAAAGGGTGACGTATTGCCATTATCCAGTTCGCGTTTCTCATTTCTATAAGAATCTGAAGCCGTATATTAAATTTGCGTTGGAAAAATGGTCTTATAACACCGAACGGATCCTCACAGCCGATTAGACGAAGGAGGTAAGTTGAATAGTGTTATTATATTGTTCATAAAGGGCTACAACAAACTCTCAATGTCCAGCCTTCATCTATTGTAAATTAATTGAAGTTTACTGGACGGTTGCTCGTGGGAATGTGCACCACAATCATAAGTGTAATTCCCTAAAGTACGACGACAATTCTTGGATGCTCAGGTTAACTGACGCGGAATGCTAAACCGTGACAGTTTAATCATGGCAGTGAGTGACATAGAATATCTTACATATACATAGTCTGGTTATCGAGATTGAGTTAAATAACTGATACTTGTAAAGTTATGTTAGACTTAATTATCCGTTAATCAACAAAATCTAAGCCCAGTTGCATAGATTTCAATATGTTTCTGGTATATGTAGCTAATGAAAATTGTCTACGCACATGGTAAACTGAATTGTGTTAATTAATTATTTTAATTATCAGAAGGGGTTTTGTGGAGATTTAGTATTTATCATAGTTGAAAGCTTCAATTGACTCACGCTTTCAATTAATTATTTGCTTAGTGTCCTCTTACATTTATGAAATATAGTTATTAAAGTGGAAAAATATACAAAGGACTGTGTGCTTAAAATGATTTGGACAATACTTAAGCATTTTTCTCTAGAGATTAATTGTAACTAAAATTGAGATTTGTCTGAAATAGCTATCGATAATCAAAATAAAATCAAGGTGAATGGTTAAACGTTTTATATTATTCTGAACTTAATTTAACATTTTTGTTATTGCGCTGTCATAGCTAAACTAATTTAACCTTCAGATGGCTTTGGCGTCAGCGTATACGTGTCACCATAACTCATTCAAAAAATGATCAGTTGATAATGCAACCTTTGGATAAAAATAAACCAATTAATCAGACTATTCATGAAATAGAATTATCAAACACCCCACTGGATTCGTCATCATGCCAATTATTTCCATCTTCTTGTAGTCCAAGTGAAATGAAGACAACATTACTGCCTGTATTTGCTTTGAATGAGGTTTTCGCCGGGGCTGCTTCGAGTGCAAGGTTAGTTAATCAGTTATTGTTGTTTTAATATTTTGTTGTATTTTCAGTGTATTTGCTATTACTTTATAACACATAATCAAAGCACATGGAACTTTTGTAGTGTAAACGTGTCAGTTCCTGCAGAATTGTTATTTTCTCTAAGAACCAGGAGTTTTAAAAAAATCATCTTTTGCCCACTTGACCTCAAATTCAAACCTTTCTCTATCTACCACGGTTTGGGCGACCTAACTGTCACTAGCTATCACACTCAGTGTTATACTCAACTACCGTCTATTCTGCAACTAAAATATTTCATTCGACTCATCCAAAATCACAGCATAAATCGAGAGTTCACGATAATGCGAACAAGGGATGCAGTAGTAAAAACATTTCTGACTGATATTCTACCGAAATTACCTCAGGAGCTGAGTTTCGAGGCGACAGTAACTAAGCTGTCAGATATATTTAGTGAGTTGTCTACATTGTTTGGTATTCGATATCAGTGTCGTAATTCCCGCCCTGATTTTGGAAGAGTCAAGTGGATTATCGTGGTCAAAAGATACTACACACTAAGACTCAACATAAATTATGGCAATAAACTAAGTACATAAATAAGCAGAGATGGGTGGTGGCTAGTAATGGAACCCAGGACTCGCTTTTCGTTCCAATTGGGACTGGATGTACCTGTAACCAGAGTTGACGTTCACTCCGGGACTCGAACACAGTACCTTTCACTTCAAACACCATCAGGTTATTCACCTAGCTATTGAATCCAGACAGTCACTAGCTTGTGCATCTTCCCATTGATGTTTGGGACGGCAATAGATCAATCTCTTATTGGCATATGTGCATCGTGTGCAGATTGTTTCGATATTATTGCCTTAACTTGCATGCATTATAAGCTCGTAGTGAACATCAACTCGGATGAGAGTACATCCAGCTGATGAGTCCCAAATAAGACGAAACGCGCATCCTGGATCCCACTGTCAGCCACCATCCATCTCTGATTATAATGCTTGTGTTTTAAGGCGATATCGAAGCGATCCTCATACGATGCACATATGCTAATAAGAGACCGATCCATTGCAGTCCTAAACATCAATGGGAAGATCCAAACAAACAAAGCAAAAATGAATTGAGTACATAAAGATGTACATAATTACTGAATTACATTAATTAGTCAGTTTGTTATTTTGAATAAGAGTATAACTTTTACTAAAATAAAGGTTTTACAAATCTCATTTGGATATAAATAATGTTCAATACATACATCATTGTTATCCTGTGAAATAAAAACCACAATTACTCAAATATAGTTTAATAACTTCATTCTTATTTACTTACTTCCTATAATGTGTAGTATTCAAATATCGTTTACCAATTGAAATTCAACATAGTTCATTTATTTTACTAAGAATATACATAGAAGAGAGGAAATGAGGTTGGACTATCGTTTACTAAGTTGAAAGTGTATACTTAAGGTTTTTTGACTTATGGTAATATGCCTCAGAGTTTTCCATAATGCTGCAGGTACATCCTCTTTTTATCTTCGTTTCGATCTTGAATTTTACTATTCCTCTACATATTTACTAGCATAAAGTAAAATATATTATTATTATTATCATCAGCTTTATTCAATATTATATTTTTGGTACAATATAGAATTCTCAGCACAAAGTACTTCAACAAGTTTCCATTTCTTACTTCTTCGTCCTTCTTGACGATAAATATTGAGTGATCGCCAGCTAGAAGTTAGCAACCCAGTCAATCGACATCTAAATATTGTACATTCTTCTCGCTGCATATTTCCAGCAACCACGATATCTCTGATTAGGCCTTCTGTAACCTTTACAGCGAAAGGTTGTACACTTTTCAGAAACGCGCCTGAATAGGTTTTGCGATTAATAGCCATAATGATGTATTAAAACTAACAAAATTAGGTAACTTGTTGATATATCTAGATAACAAGAACAGGTAGCCCAGATGTTTAAACAGGCCGCCAAAATCCAACTCAGCAACCTAATTATATTTGTTAGTTAAAACTGTTAATCTACGGATTTTGTAAATTACATACGTGCATTGAACTATTGACTAATTAAAATTAATTACTACCAGTTCAACGCACTCACATTTACCTATTAATGGATTTTTGAAGTGACGTACATGTTACTGTACACTTTGAAGTCGTTTAGATTAATTGTAAGTCAGTAGTTATTGTATTAATAAATCAGCATTTAACAGTCTAGTATTTTTTTTGTGCCGAGCCATTTCAGTTTTGTTCCGTTGAAAAAGTAGCAGTTTAGTTCGTTTGCATACCATCAACAGTAACATTTATATTCTGACAAATTACTACATGAACCTTTCCACATTTTATTTTTGTTCTATACTCCCAATGTTCAATTATTCTCATCATAATTGCTACTACATTAATCTCGATCTCTTTTGCTATTCATCGCATAGTGTTAGTGTGGTGTGGCGACTTGGGTGAACGTATACCTTTGCTAGGCTCTGCGTTGAGGATGACTAATTGACTGACTGACCTTATGTTTCTAAAATGAGGTAAATTTTAATGTTTCCGAATATCAATACCTAATAGGCTATCCCGTTGTTACTTCATAAATTTTACGATAAAATATGTTGTTAAATTCTATGCCTATGTTTCAGGTAAGTTAGATATTTTGTTATAGATACTAGTGATGGGAATAGTCACGTTGCTTGCCGAAAATGTTTACAGTTCCAAAATAGCGAAATTTTATGGAGAAAATAAGTTAAATGTAAAGATTCCGTGGATTTTTAATTTGATTTTAACTGTCATCCAGTTGTTGACAAACAAGCCTTCACTTATTTCCTAATCACCCACCGAAATACCTTTTGACAAAATGAATCGATCATAAATTAAATGTAATCAATTGAAACTTTCAGTTTATATATCCGTGGAAGTTAAAACATACAAAGATTTCAGACCATTGTATTCATAATTATAAAACCGATTTCTTCTATAAATATTCTCTTGACAAATTAGTTGTTACCTATCGTTGTGATTTTATTATCACTATTAGCTTTTGAGGTTCATTTGGCTATAACATGTTTGTAATATAGCATGATCCTGTGGTTTACAAGCGAGAAGGCAGTGAGTAGGATTTACGTGGGAGTGGTTGTATGCACGTTGCCATATGAGAGCATTTCGAGAGGGAGAGTAGGCTCTCCCCACTCTCGTCCTTACCAGGGCATTTGGGGGCACAATATGGTTTATTACTACAGTATTACAATTTTCTGTAAATATATTAGGTTATGCATTGATTTGATAGGAAATATACTATTTGTTAGTTATGCTAACCTATTTGTTTGAATAGACTTGTGTGGTTTTTATTCATTGAAACCACAAATTAATTAAGTTCATGTTGTTCTGTTATGTTCATTATTTCTGTTTTCGTCTAATTCATTTATTTAATCGAAATCTATCAATTGGTCAGCATAATTTTTGACTTAAATATCAATTCAATCAGTAAATTCCATTAGTATCATAGACTTTGATCCTGGTTTACTACTTCCTTTTATTCGTAAATGTCTGTCAGGTAGCTTTAATGATAAATCTTGTAATCTGTTGTTTTTTGATTTATTATATAATTTTTTTATTCACTCATTCCTGCCTCCCATTATTCAACATGATTTGTTGGTTAAACTTAAAGCAGATGGGTTTCGACCAAGTTTTATCAACGAATTTTTAGATTCATGTTATTTTCTGTATTTCTTAAAGAAGTAGCCTTTATCTTTCTTATTTCTATTTATTTATGTAAGTATTCATATAATTTATCGTATTAGGGATCCAGATTTTAAAAAGTGATATCAACACTTTTCATCATATACGGGGTTATTAGTCTTTGTCTTAGTTTTTTGTTTGTGAATACGAACTCATTGGATAATTAGACATTGAATATTGTCTTCAATCAAACAAAATTAAGCGTTCATGCACAAACACATTAAAATTTCAATAAGTGATATATGTATTAAGTATGAGAAAAATCGATCAGCAACGTTTTACTGGACTACAATGTAACACTGTTGTTTCTTCTGGTGACCTTATTTGTATTGTTTTATCTGCATAAGTATATTTATATTTCCAGTGATTGATTCTTTGTTAAGTCAATCAGTAATGATATATGAAATTGATTTTCTATGAATAGTAGATTCTTAAAATCTTAAGAAGTTTATTAATTTAGTGATAAGTAGTATGATGTCCGCTTCCGACGTCGACGGATATAAGTAGTATGTGGCGAAAATCATAAGTGGAATGCTTACCAGCAGGATATTGAAATGAAGACAAGAAGAAGAAGAAAAACAGATAGAAATCGGAGGATTGTTGGAGTATGTTAAGGACGACAGAAGGAAGATGTGTAAATGATGTATTTAATGCATAATTTTCATATTTTACAAATTCATTGTGTTTTTTGTACAAAACAATAAATTAGTCTGTCTTACTTGAGTCTTTCTTCACCACAGAAGTAGTCTGCGGTGGAATAGTTGAAAAAAATTGTTATAATTTACTTGCAAGTTAACTCCCAGGCTTAGTTGAATATGTAATGATTTAAACTCGGATAAAAAAAGTCTACTAAATTAGACATTGGGAACTATTGCTTAATTATAATGATAATAATAACAGTCTTATTCGCTATTATGTGTTTTATACATCATGGAATACTCAATATACAGTATTTCAACAATTTTCTCTCACTCTTTGTCGATATCGCAAAATACATATGTGTGGTAAAATTAGATCAAATTTCTGTGATGATACCTCTTGGATTATAATAGATAGTAGGTTAAGTTTGATAAAAGGTTTCTTAAGATATTTCATTAGTGTAAACTTTATGACGTGAAGTTTTTTCAAATCGCCATTCATTGGTCAATATTATTTATTCGATAATTTCTGAGACGAAATAGACATTACTGATGGTAGTTGATATTAGTCGCTTAATATTACGAACCGATGGAACTGCGAAATATGTCCCGATAGATATCAGCTCGGTGGTCTACAGATGACACACTTAGCCGAACGTCTAAATATCATGGATTCAATTTCTAGTGTCATTATGAACATATACTACTGAATACTTTCAAACTATAATAGACCAACTGTTATCCATATTTTTCAGTAGTTAACTGGCTAAAGCGATCCAGTAGTATAGACTGTTTTTTTCTATATTGTATTTACCTATATAGTCATATTTAAAACTCAGCAAATGTTGATCATTTTAGTCCGCTGATCATTTTTTGTTTAATCTCAGTGTCTCCGATTATGATATCTCAGTTGATTCTGGGGAAACTATTGAAAGACAAAAATCAAGTGGTCTAGTCATTTCTACTGGTACAGGCTCAACTTCATGGTCTCATCAAATTAATAAATTATCCGAATCAAATATTAAGAAATTATTTGATCTTGTTCAACAGATAAATCCATTTATTTTGTCGAATGGTTTATTAGATCATGGTACAAACACATCTTCAGTTGGAAATTCAAATGTGACTAAATTGGATTGTTTAATCGAAACAATTGAGGCATTATATAATAAATCATTTATTTTTAATCCAGAAGATTGTCAAATGATGTATACGGTTAGAGATCCATTGAACAATGGTAAGTTTTTGTTTAATAATAACAGTTAGGTTGGACAAATTACAAATCCATAACAGATATATTGATATGGTATACAGTTACCTTTTGGAAACTTAGGATTTAATATAAAATACTTAGGAAATGAATTCTCAAATGAAACTCAATCTTGCTGTCTCAGGAAATTGAAGAAATTGACTATATTCATTCCGCAACATTTGGGTATACGAACGGTCTGACCAAAATGTACTCAAGAGTACAGTCGCTCGATTTCAGGACTCAAGAATGAGTTTTCATAACATTCTAAAGATTTTAAAGCTTATGCAGCTAATCAAGATCTTTAGCGGAAAACAGTAGAATCAAAAACTGATATCTGTATGAAAAATAGCTTCAGAAGTGCTATGTCGACTGAATTCGATTCGTCATTAACATGGATCAAGTTTCGGAGTCAATAACAATTCGCACAGTGAATATTCGTTGTGTTTTAGTTGGTTCACAACTAAGCAAATGTTTTCATGTGTGAAATTCAGTAAGTCAAAATTCAGACCTTAATTTACAGAAACACATATCAGGTTAGTCGAATAAGAAAATGAGGATTATAAGAACTATGTGATATATTAGCGCAATATATTTCGAACAATCTGATCACATATATACTTGGTAAGAACATTTGTATAGGAGAAAAAAAAGCCAACTAGATAAATGGAGGAAACAAAGATATTAAAAAAAATAATACGAAAAACAATTTGAAAACTCAACCCTCTGGATAATAAGCTAATATTACTAGGGTGGGTTTAAGATGAGAATAAACTGTTTTTAAATACTTAAAGTGGGTTTGAATTTTCATATACCTAGGGCTTCAATAAACCTTAGTATACGCCCTTTTTCACTCTTGTACAACACCACGAAAGCCGTGTTTAGGTCAATCTTATGACCTGATTTATCTGTATATTGGCAGTAGAGGATGGTGGGTGTTTATCATGTACGCTTATTGGGTCATTTGATTTTTCAGACATTTAGGTACACGTTCAAACACCCTGATTTGGAGACCACGATTACTCCTTTCTATGTATGTTTGGCCACACATACATTCAAATTGATAAATACAGTGGAATGTGACACAATCGTGTTGTTGTCTTTTAGATTTTTGGTGAAGCATGGACCTTGTTTTTCCTTTGATAATGACCTTTGCTCCATAATACGTCTTAATAATAACTGATTTAAGCCTTTGTTTCAATAAAAAGCTATTTGAATCACCTCTAAACGGTAAGGTGATACGGACAGACGTTTTTGTGTCAAGGCCATAGTAGGTCTCGCCATACCATGACCTTTCCATCGGCTTATAAATTTTAGAGAATAGCCATTTTCCATTAACTTCAAATAAACTTATTGTCTTTCCCTTGATATTAATATCATCTAAATGGTCGACTAATTCAAAAGAACTCTTCAGATAATACTTACATAAACGTCTTTGGATAGGACCCAACAATCTTGTCAGATATGTTATGTGTAGATGATCGACACATTGATAAATTTGTACATTAAGGAATGTTTGATTTGTGAATTATGGATAATTCATGTAAATAGGGATACTCAGAACCCATAGGTTTTCACAAAATTAAATTCCGCTTTATCAATAGTATTCATGTGTATCAGTTTTACTAGGTTTGAATTTATTCTTCCCTCTAGTTTGCTATTACCTCCGAATTCGGTATCAGGCATAAATTTACTTTTATCACTGAGAATGGATAACATCTAATTTTCTTATTCACATTTGTTAATGATAAGCACGCCTGATCCTTTATTAGGCTTCGACAAGACAATACCAGGGTTTCTTTGAAGTTCTGTTAATGATTTAAAATGATGAGAAGTTAATATGTTTCTCTTCTTTGATCTAGCATAATGAAATCGGTGTGTTATATCCAGTAGTTTAGTTTTACATGAGTTATGATTATTTAAAGACGTAGGGGTTAGCGTACTCAATTGATCATAGAGATCAGGCCTGCTTATTATTAACCAGTATAAATATAAAGTAATATGTTATCCATCATCAGTAATGAAAGTAAATTATGTACAGTTGAATTTGTCTAATTAACAAAATAGAATTTTCTTAACGTAAATTTTGTAAGTAGAAGTTTGTTTCATTATTGATTTATGCCTGTTGATATCTGCTTGCATACAGCCCTTTCGTTATAGAAACGGTTATTCAACATGTGACATAAATCAGTTATTTTGTCATTTTGAAAATTGATGTTTAATAATAATAACTTTTTATCCAGCCAATTGAATTTAGAGTGTTTATCTAATCAGTTATGCCAAGTATTCATTACTAAAATAAGAAGAGAAAAATACCATACTGTTTCAGTCCTGATTATCAAACAAATTTTGCTTTGTAATAGTGTCATAAAGTTAGGTACTTTCATATTTCCAGCATAATATTGTTAGGTTTGAGCATCGGACACCTGTCTATATTGACTTACTATTCAACTTCTAGATTCCAACCAGTTTATAAATCTTGAACTCTGAACAAATAAAAAGTTTGTGATACAATTTCAGTTTTACTTCGAGGTTATTTTGTACTTATATAAACTAAATGCTGTTCATTGATTCGCGGGTTATCCTGTTATTCCGAAAATTTGTAGAAAGTTTTCTCAGCTAAGTAATTATCCGTTTGATCGACGATGTAGAATAAGAATGTATTATAAATAAAAAGTATGTATCAGAGACACCAATGGGGTGAAAAAATACTTTTAACACTTCTCTTCCTCACTGTCTATGACTTGAATATTCGTCAGTCAACTCGCTGAGTGAATACGTTATCCATCTGTCAAGCTATTCAGTTAGCCAGCCATCAGTCGTAGTCAACTTAAAGCCTAGAAAAGACATATGTTAATACGAGTTGCTGCACTATATAAGCACAAGAAGATATAATTAACATAAAAATTAGCAAAGAAGTCGAGACGATTATCATATCAATGATAATTAGAAAGACTAAAGATCGAGATTATGGTTCTGAAGGGCAAGATGAAAAGGAATGTGTGGAGAAATATTGGAACTCAAGACCTAGAGGAGGACAAACAGTAGATGAATCCTTGCTATTGTGACCTATTCTGGATCTTGTCACTCGTCTCTATCGGCTGATTTTGGTGATTGGGCAGGCCTCAGCAAAGTATTCCGCATCTACCAACATACCGCATACCTAAGGTCAATGACTTCATGGACTGATATCACGTTTTGTTTTGATTACCTCTACCTTCCTCTCAGCTTATCCTAACACTGACTAACAACACGCGAGGTAGGTGACAGTTGGCCTTACGTAACACATGTTCCAACTACCTTATTTAGTTAGTATTCACTACCACATCAAGTGATTTATCATCTTTACCTAGTACTCTGCGTCTAATCTCAGTATTGCTCACTTGATTTTCAATGGTGGTCTACGTTAGATCGATTATTGTTTTTACAAATGTTTTATAGATGACCGAAGTAATTTCTTCATTTAAGACTTAAGTGTTTTTTTATATACTTAGATTAAAACAGTGTGTTTAAATGCACTGAATTAGATGGAAATCTGTTACTAACGTTAAATATTCCGTTTATCACTTTTCTGATAAACTGTTACATGTATCTCTCTGAACTTGTCGAACAATGATTTAATGCTTAACACGGCTGACTTCATACACTAGGTTTCCGGTTCAGGCTCCACTTAACTTGTTTTACTTCAAGTAACCGAGTAGTATTATTGTTGGCCAGGACTTAGAAAATCGCTGTGACTCAAAGCTAATGATTCTGTAAATGGTTATTGGGTTTTGGATTCGTTGTAGATATATTCAATAACAATGATTCATCATTGTGTGGTGACCAATGTTATATTTGTCCTGTCCTTTTAAACTCCGATCAAATTCTATTGATCTAGTTGCAATATGTCCATTACTGTAAGTGACAGGTCACCGTGTTCAGTGTTCTGTGGCAGACCTTAGATCTTGGTTTCTTGCTTATTACTATTCATTAGCTGGGGAACTGATGATCCCTGTAGGATTCGAACCTGCCTCATTCAGTGCCACAGTCTGATACATTATTTGAAAAGCAGCAGGAACCTTTCAAACTTTGAAGCTGGATGATGTGGGTTTGGACCTCTCAAGAAAGCACCAGTTCTCTCAAGCATTCAGGTACGGTATACTGGCGAGTACCAACTTACGTGAAACCTGAGGTTTCTTGTCGACTATCTCCAAGCATCTAACATGTTCAGTAACTATGTAATTATCATAACTATCTCACGTGAATCCTAAATACATAAAACTACATATTTATAGTTTCCAGTCTCATCGAATTTTTATTTTATACTAGACATAGTCAATAATAATTAAGATTTTGAATATGTAAATCATAGCTGTTAAATCATATAATTAATGTATTGTATGAATGTTAATATGATTATCGTTATTTTTGCTGTTATAATCAAATTTCTATCTAAATGGGTTAAGGCCATTTCTTCAAGCTCTAAATTAACTCTATTTTTGCTCTTAGGTGTATTCAAAGTTGCTAAACCGCATGGTTTCGCTTCAGAGTAAGTTTATCAGTAGTACGTATATATACAGTTTTTTTCTAACTTTATGGGATTTGCGCTACACTGTTAACTTTGTTTTTTAAGTATGCTGTTGCTGGATTTTCAAAGATTTTCTCTTAATTATTGGGTCAGTTTGATCGAGCCGATCGATATTGAGTAGTTGACCACTTATTGATTAGTTCACTTTACACTTATCGGACTAAGCCCCTTCACTCTTATCAGTAGCATACAATAACTATGGAACAGCGCCTAAAGAACTTTAATCACTGTTGGTCGTTCCAAATCAGCATCTAATCAGAAGACAGAAAAAATTGACCAATCGTTTTTTAGCCGTCAAAAAATTCCCCCATCATATTAAAATACAGATATTTGAACGAATAATAGCCTTTTTAATAAATCCTCTTCACGTTCTACAGTTATATTTTCAAGTTAACAAACCGTATAGTGGACAGGTTTTAGCCAAATATATCGTTTCAAATTATAGAGTGTGAATTCAAGATTGTTTGGTGAAAGATTATATAGTAATATGAATTCAGTATGAAATAACTGGGGTGACGGCTAAATAGATTAATCATCTGTTCAGAAGAATAATAGTGATGACGAACTAGTAATAATGATATGAATATATATGAATCGATATACCAATGGAAATAACAATGATTTTAAATTCTTAATTCGTCATTTCTCAAAAAATTCGTAGGTTGGATGTACATTCATTATCTGATCACACATCAGAAATAAGACATTTTAATATGTACATGATTAAACCATGAATAATGCAAAAACTAAGTTATCGTCCATAATTAATTAGTAACGTGTTTTTTGTTTAATTTTTCAACTTAGATTGTACATCCGATCACTTATGGATGACGGACATTTGGCATTTGACAGTGGTGTCACATTTCCTTTCAAATCAGGATCTATTGCAAAATTTACTGTTCTACCTTCTGATGCATTATGCTGTGTTACATTTAATGTTCCTTGTCAAGTGAACTAATACCTCAGGTATTTTTAGTTTGGCTTCTTTTGGGGGTACGAATTCAGATCATTAAACACCAGTGTTGGTTCTAACCATCTGTAAAAAATATCATTTTTTATTATTTACTTCCATTATTCCGTAGACATTTTTTCATTATACCATTAATGAATTCATTGTCGAACACTTTATTTTGCTAATTCATGAATTGTGTTTCTGAGATTCTGTACATTATGAAATTTGCAATGCAATTTCCAATCCGGAACTTGTACGTTTTTTGGTTCTCTTATTATTATTTACTATTGTTACTATTATTAATGGCTTTATTCAATATCGTATACTTAATACAATGTAGAATTCTCACCACACGGTATTTCAACATGTTTCTTTTACAAAAAAGAAAAAAAAAGCGAAAGGAACTGATAACTGTATACATACATACACAATTTAAGTAGATAAACGACCTGGAATTAAATAAAACGTTTTTTTTTCAAAGAAGATTTGAATCTGTACATCTTTTAAAAATTAGAAACATGTTTAAGAATACGAGTTATTTACTAGATCAACTCTAACAACCTGTTCGTCACACAACATATTTGCTAGATAAGGTATTGTATGGCTTCTATACCTTTGTTTGTGTGCATGGATTCTAATGTATTGAAGTCTCTTTCTACCAGAAGATATAAAAGGAGAAAGATATGGATAAAGTGGATCATTAGTATCTGATAACACCTGTCAGACTTTTGCAAGATTTTAAATGCCTGTCTGCAATCATGTTCATAGCGACCTCAAAACAGTTCCTATCCTGCTAACTGCCTTCAGTAATCTCCACAATACATCAAAGTCTTTTCTCAAAAGCCCGGTAAAGAATAATGGAGAGCAATAAAGAATAAAAGGTGTTGTGCAAGAAATGTCGAGTAATGCCAAAACTATGCAGCCTCTTTGTTGTGACGGACGATGTCCAAAATCTAATAATGATAAATGACGTGCTGTATGTTAACCTCATCCCAACTGACTACTTAAGCGAGAAAGTGTATCGGACTACCAAATGAAATGCACAAACACTCATTCAGATATACACCAATCTATCCTTGGGAAATCGACCCATTCCTTAACCAATGAAATGCACTTGTCTTTTAGGTTATTTCTGATTGCCATTGACTGATTGTCTCATCAGGTCACTTCTGATGGGCTCTCCATATCACTGTTCATGCAATAAGTCAGGTGGAAAATTTTCTTCGATAGCAATAAAACGTGAGAGGACCAATAGAGATCAGAGGAGAAAATTATACCAAGATAAATGACCTTTAACACTTGCTATTTCAAAACCTTTATAGCAGAAATTTAGCCCCCAAATGCCCTGGTACGGCCGAGAGTGAGGAGAGTCACCTCTCCCTCTCGAAATACTCTCATATGGCCAGCGAATATATAGCCTCTGCCAGAGAAGTCCTACTCACTGCCTTCTCGTGGCATTACTGTTGTTTACGAAATTGAGAGGACGAAAAGCGAAACTCCGGCGCTTTAACCGGGTTGGTGGACACGGAGAGTTCACCTACGGGAGTTGGAAAACCCTGATTCCAAACCAATAGTGCACATGGGCTCCAGTATCCTGATGGAACGAATGGCGGACGAACCTGTCATTGGTCACCGGCTACCATGGGACTGCATCTCCTCACGATGCTCCACCGACTTGTGGATCAGACCTTTTGGTCAAAGGCTCGGGGTGTGGCCTCCTAAGAAAACCACCTGCTTCGGTTTGGGCACCCGGACAGTATCACAGCCCACACACAAATAAATGAAATGATGAATTCTATTGACGATACTATTCCTGCTCATACTAGAAGCAGAACAATTTACATTATTGTTATTACCTTTATTATTGTTATTATTATTATTTGCCATATCGCTAACACGTCCCCTTTTATCCCCAATTTGTTTAACCTTACTTTTCAACTTATGCAGCAGCTCGCCAATGGTAGAAACTCTGTCCTATCTAAAGGATCTCCAGTCACTGTCTGGTTGAAAGTGAATGCTTCCACCGATTACGAATACTGAAGCAGTCTTTCTGACACCGAGTACGCCGTTCAAGCTGGCTTCCTTCAACGTTCGCACACTAATGCAGACCGGACAACAGATGGTGCTGGCTATGTCTTTAGAAAGTCTTAATGTTGATGTTTGCTGTCTATCCGAGACCCATATTCAAGACTCTAATGAAGTACTACAAATTCGCTCTCCATCTGTCGCTTCGAAAAGCTTGTTTCACGTGCGCTTATCCGGGGACCCTGTGGCATCTTCGTCTGGTCTTGCAGGCGTTGGTGTTGCACTAAGCGCTAGGGCTGAGGCAGCACTAATCTATTGGATCCCCATTAACAGTCGGTTATGTGCTGTTAGATTAGAAAGTTCCATCAAAGTGAGAAGAAACTGGCGTGAGAAACGGTGTCTTTTCGTCATCTCCGCCTATGCTCCGACAGATTGCAGCCCGGATACAATCAAGGATGAGTTTTACCACCAGTTAACAGTTCTTCTCCAGAAAGCGCGTTCGACAGATATTGTAGTATTAGCCGGAGACTTGAATGCTCAGGTCGGGCGTCTAGGCACAGAAGAGAGTCGTTTAGGTGGCCGGTGGGGACTTGTTGGTCGCAGGACAGATAACGGGGACCGTTTGCTGCAACTGTGCACAGACCACAACCTGTTTCTGGTTAGCACTAACTTCCGGCACAGTCATCGCCGGTGTGCCACCTGGCGAAACCTCCCGCTTACAAGCACTGGGTTTCTTCTGGCTCCTTACATCTGATCGAAGCCCGTCGGTCTACTCCTGGTGACCGTGAGTTTGACCACAAACGAAGGCTGTTACGTAGTGAAATCGGGCAAAGCTTGCGTAAGGACCGAGAAGCCTGGTAGTCGGATGGTGCTAATAAGCTGGAAGCAGCAGCTGCATCTGGTAACTGCTGGAAGATCTTCCAACTCATCCGAGCCACTGGCAGCAAGAATTGTGTGTGATACAATCTGTGAGGATGACGGGATGCCAATCACTAACATCTGTCGACATCTTGGACGATGGGCAGTTAAACTGGCCTGCTGCTTCGGCAACATTGACAAGTTTGTCCCCCCCCCTCATGGCCGGTGACAACTGATCCACCAAACGAGGCGGAAGTTCGCAAGGAACTCCAACTCCTGAAACGCTACAAATCACCGGGCCCAGATGACTTACCTCTGGTTTTTTTTAAAGATGGTGGTGACTTTCTGGCTAAGGAATTGACCGCGTTGTTTACAAAGGTTTGGGAGCAAGAAAGTGTTCCAACGTCATGGAATGAGTCGATAGTTGTCCCTACCTTTAAAAAGGGTTCACGTCGTTCCTGTAACAACTATCGGGGGATAAGTTTACTTCCGATCGCGTCCAAATTACTGGCTTCTGTCATACTTCGTCGATTGTTTAAAACCCGAGAACGATTGACTCGCGAGGAGCAGGCTGGTTTTCGTTCTGGTCGAGGATGCATTGATCACATCTTCACCCTCCGCCAAATGTTAGAACACCGTCATACTTATCACAAGCTAACAATCGTAGTGTTTCTTGATATCAGGGCTGCCTTCGATTCGTTGGACAGGACTGTTCTCTGGGATTGTCTATTGAAGAAGGGTGTGCCTGAGAAGTTCATTAACATCTTAAAGGCCCTGTATACGAACACCTTAGGCAGAGTGAGGGCATACAACCACCTTTCTCCCTTGTTCCATTCGAGCAGTGGGGTTAGGCAGGGTTGCCCGATCTCACCATTCCTCTTCAACTTTGTCATCGATGACATCCAGGAAACAGCTCTGATGAATGTAAGTAATGGCGGTGTGGATATGTTGCCCGGAGAACGACTTCTCGACTTTGAGTATGCGGATGATATTGTCTTACTGTGCGATAATGCCCAAGGCATGCAATCCGGACTTAATCAGTTGGCAATCAGTGTCCGCAGGTACGGCATGTGCTTTGCACCCTCCAAGTGCAAAGTACTCCTACAAGACTAGCAGGGTTCTCATCCTGTACTCTCTCTGGGTGGTGAGCAAATTGAAGTAGTCGAGAAGTTCGTGTATCTAATTAGCTGCATAAGTACTGGTGGTGGCGTGAGTGATGAGATCGATGCACGTACAGTGAAAGCCAGAGCGGCTTATGCCAATCTGGACCATCTTTGGCGCCTTTGTGATGTTAGTCTGGCTGTAAAAGGTCGGATCTACAACGCGTCAGTGAGAGCAGTTTTGCTCTGTGCTTGTGAAACCTGACCTCTCCGAGTTGAGGATGTTAGACGACTCTGTGTTCGATCATTGTTGTCTCCGAAGGATTGCTGACATCCAGTGGCAACACTATGTTAGTAATGCAGAGGTTCGGCATCGTGTGTTCGGGCGCCGGGACGATAATTCAATTGGTGTCACCATCGTGAAACACCGACTTCGGTAGCCTGGACATGTTCCACGAATTCTACATCGTGCATTATTTGCAGACTCTGGGACTGGTTGGGAAAGGCGGAGAGGTGGTCAGTGCATGACATGGTGCTGTGATGTGATAGAAAGCTGTACAGGACTGGTTTCCGTCGGCCTTTCATGACTCCCTGTTTGGGGTCGTAGATAATTCAATTGGTGTCACCATCTTGAAACACCGACTTCGGTAGCTTGGACATGTTTTACGAATGTCGTCCCAGAGACTTCCACGTCGTGCATTATTTGCCGACTCTGGGACTGGTTGGAAAAAGCGGAGAGGAGGTCAGTGTATGACATGGTGTCGTGGTATGAAAGAAAGTTGCAAAGGGCTAGCTTCTGTTGGACCTTCACGACTCCCTGGCTGGGGTCCGAGAGATGGTGCAACACAGTGGCTAGAGACGTTATCAGATATGTCTCAGAATTGAAGCCAGTGGCGATCCTGCTGCAACCTTCTTTTACTTTCTACATAAAGAGTGGTTCAAACTTTCTTAACTGAAAGAGTCCTCTGGTTGTACATTTCAGTCCGCCTTATCTTTTCATCCCTTCTCTTGCTACTTTCATTATTTTGTGTGGCGCATATGTACCTGGTGCCCTTTTGTACCAATATTTATGTGTTTAAATAAATAATAAATAGCAGAAACTTGATGGGAATCCAACAGCGTGTTCAAGTGATGTTTATATCTCAGGCTACTGTTAACAATTTGATATTTAGAAGGATTAAGTGTGAGATCATTAACAACAGGTCGTCGTTCAATGAGAAATAAGGACTCATTCGTTTCAGAGGGTGTAAAGCGGTAGAAATCCGTGTGCATACAGTGAGACAAACCGCATAGTAGAGAATTGGAACACTTTCCTCCAAGCACAGTGTACCGTTCTCTTCCAGAGAGATACGAACACAGTCAGTCGGTCTTCCAGCTATCAGTGTTGACGCTAAGAAACTTAAGATGTAGTACTGGTCTTGAAATAGAGCCAAAGCCGGAAGTATAATCTTGAAATCTTCATCGAAATTACTAGTTGCCCTTTTCCAAGCTGAACACTATATTATGATGTGAAATAACAGCAACATCAAAGGTACCTCTTT